GCCTCAAACTTTCAGTCCTCCAGCCTCAGCTTTTGGAATAGCTGGAATCACAGGTGTATGCTAGCACACCTGGCCATAAATGTATTTTTTAAAGGGCAAAATGTTAGGAAAAAGAGGGAAAATTTGTTTAACTGTATCTGTACCTATGAAAAAATGAGATAGGACACCATATCTATGCCCATTTTCTCTCCCATCCTTTAAAAAACAAAAGAAAAAAGAGCAATTCAATAAAATTTTTTCCTCAGAGGTAATTTGTAAATCATAAATGAAAACTAAATAAAGGAAAGAAATTTTATTAGTTTTCTGTAATTGCAATAACAAATTACATAACTGAATTGTTAAAAACCTCAAAAATTTTATTTTCTCACAGTTCTGGAGAGTTGAAATCCAAAAGTTGGTGTTGACAAGGCTATGTTCACTCTGAAGGCACTTAGAAAATAACTATTTCAGGCCTCTCTCTTAGCCTCTGGTGGTCTTGGGTGTCTCTTGCCTTGTAGATATGTCATTGCAATCCTCCATCTTCATGAGGTGTGTCTTTTCCTTGCCTTTCCTTGTGGCCCAACTGTCTCTATGTCCATATTTTCTCTTATACAAAGTCAGTCATTTTGGATTAGGACCCACCCTAAAAAACTCATTTTAATTAGATAGCCTCTGTAAAGACTTTATTTCCAAATAAGGTTACATGCTGAGGTACTCGAGTTTAGGATTTTGACATGTCTGTTTATTTGGGGTAGGGTATTGACCATGGTGGAATTAATATAACAGAATGTTAACAATGTTAATCTCTGCATTGTTATTATTGATCTTTTTTTCTTAAACTTTTCTGTTTTCCACAGTGTGCACGTATTGCTTTTATAATCTAAACAGATGTTATTCTCAAAAAATGTTTTTATGAAAGTCTCATTTTTAAATCATTCTCTCCATTAGCTCCCAGTTTATATGATATATAATTTTGTTTGGTTTGAGAAGTTTTCTAATTCAGCAACAGTTCATTTGCATTATTGTAACACTTAGCAATCTATAATCTGTGTAATTTTATATCTATGAATATAGTTAGGATATAAAATGGATTCTACTGTCATGTACAGCTAAAAAGAACCAATAAATTGAAAAGAAAAGAAAAAATAAAAAACTCCCATCTCTGAATTAAAAGGGTCTCTTAGCCTTTGTATCTGTAGAGAGCAGACTGGTATTATGAGTAAGAAGAGGACAGTATGCATAATGAAGGCATACAGCAGTAGGTATAAGAGCAGCTCGAATAATACCTTCATTTATCCTGAGTTCCAAGGCCATGAGTTTTCTCAAATGGTAAGCAGATAGGAGAAGTATACTTGTTAGTACACTACTTTGCAGCCTAATGATCTATTTTTATTAAATACAAGATTTTTTGTTGGCTTTCTGTGTTACTGGTTGCTGCTTTTTACTAGCAAAATGTAGTTTTAAAAGATTTTTAATGAACTTTTTAATTTTATTTTTTAAAGATTTGCCTGCAATGGATAAACCAGTGTTTTTGGAATTATTTAGATTGGATAGAAATATGTCACTACATTGCTACCTGTATTTTCCTTGGTCCTGATTATCAAGTGTATATCTGTATTGCTATATTTAAACATCTACAACAAGACATTCTACAGCACACTCAGACTCAAGATCTGCAAATTTTCCTAAAAGTAAGTATGTTTATGTTGAGGGAAAAATGTTAATTAATAGCTAACAGTTAACTTTGGGTGATTAATGCCAGGTACTTTACTAGACACTCACCTATCCCCAAAACAACTCTTGAGAGGTAAGTATTATTATCCATTTTAGGGAGAAGAAAGTGAGGTTACCCACATTTTACAGCTAAAGTGGAGTTGCCATATTAAATTCAACTGTCTGAATCCCAAACTTTGCTCTTAATCAGTATGCTGTGCCAGAAGACATTTAAAAATATATGTTTCTTTGTCTTACTTGGTCAATAAAAGTTTAGTTTAATGATGTTTTTCTTAAAATAAATGCAATCAATTATTTAAGATTACTTACCTGTCAAGCATTTTTGTTTCATAAATACCGAATTCAAAATGTCTTTTAAGCTTCATATATCACTAGAATTATAATCTGAGAAACATTCATAATGAAATTGTATGCCAAGACAATAATGGTTGCATATGTAGAAGGAAAACTGAGGTAGAAAAAAAACCCGTGCTCTCCAAGAGGTGATTCAGACAATGGGGAAGGTTAAACTGGTGGGAATTGTGCTAATGACAAACATGGATTCATTTTCAGTAAGGGACATTTTCTGCAGCTATAGTGATCAACTTATAGGAATTTGTAGTCTTATATCCAAAGAACCCTTAGCCCATAATTCTCTAACCTTTTGTCCCAGTTTAGTTTCTCATATAGTTTTTTCACTATCTGAAATTATTTATGTGTTTTAGTCTGTCTTCCTCAGTATATTATTTTTGTTCCAAAAGGACTGTGACTTGGTTCATCTCATTTATGGATGGATTTTCAGTGCCTTGAACTGTACCCATCATAAATAGTGCTCAATACATATTTGTTGATAGAATACATGAGTGAATAAATAATATTAAAAAATAACAGGAAAGATGTGTGACTTTAGTTTTATTTACTTTGAATAACAAACATTACTAAATTCTACCAATGCTTACCATGTCTTCTCGCCAGAAGCAGAGCATCTTTACATATCATCATCTTGAGTCTTATTAATGTTAGTTACTATTGCAATTTCATATTTCTCTTGACTACAAATTCTTATAAGTTGATCACTATAGCTGGTGAAAATGTCCCTTACTGAAAATGAATCCATGTTTATCATTAGCAGGGAAAATTGTCACAGGATTTGCAAATGGTGACCACTTTAAATTTGTCTTAGACTCCCTTGTGCGCTGGATATAATACTATAGATTTAAAACTAACAGATTGTAAATGCATGGTAGGCGGTAAGAAATTATCTTTATTACCTAATTTCTATTTAAATCACTAAAATTTGAATTGAGTCAGTTCAAAAATTTGTTGGCAAGCATTTAATTTTAACATGTGTTCTAGAACTAACCTGACTTTTTACTTCTGTTGTTTGCATTCATCTGAGAGATTAGGAAAAACACTTTTTCCAGAGGGTAATGTGACTATCTTTTGCTTTATTTTCAGTAGATAGGTCTCAGAGTCCACTGTTTGTTTTTAATAGACATGAATGTATGGTCATTATTTCTCCCTTTTTCACATATTAGCCAATAATTAGATATTGATTAAAGAAGTAATTTTATTCTTCCTTCCCTTGGACCATCCCTCAGGTAAAAGATGGTTATGTTATTAATTCATCAAATTATTCCATGATTCTACATATTTAATCCTGATTGATTCTAAGAGGATAGAAGATAAAATAGAACATTGGAACTTTAACTTTTTATTATATATATTTTGTGACCTTTTAAAATTTTTAATTTTGCAGGATGATCCCATACTACTTTTATAATCAAGCTAATTTTTTAAAAAGTTGAATAAGTTTGAGTTCAAATAATCAAACCCAATCAAATGAGTTTTTAAAATATTTAAAATCACAAATGTATAATGCTTTCAGTTATTAGTTATCCTGGAAAAATGTAGATAGCTAGGTGGTTCCAGGAGATTAAAAATATTCAATTCTCCTGATTTAGGTTTCGCGGATTGACAGAAAGTATCATGATAAAAGCATTGCTTTAGGAATAAAAATCTGTGTGACATATGTGGTATAGAGAATATCAGCCCATTTCTATTCATTTGGTTTAGGCTCAGGACTTTCAATGAGGTAATTGAGAGTTCTGACTCCTTACTTACATTTTCAATAGCCCTTACTTACATTTACAATTTCAATGAAGGGTTCTTCGTGATTCTAAAACAATATGTTAAAAAGAAGCTGGAATTGCTTAGATCAGAAGGTGGTCAACATGAATAGAGAGCCCAGGTTTCCTGGGAGGAAGAAACAAAGGTTTTTTCCTCTTCTGATTAAACCACTAAAATAGGAGATTAGATAAACCCTGTGGGTATAAATTGATATTAGAAATTATTGTTGTTTTTTTTCATAACATCTTTAAAGATTCAACAAAAAATGTGAGTTGGATGATATAGAACTGTTAAGTGTATTTTTCTTACACTATGATGATATAAACTAGAACTGACTTTGAAGGCAAATTCCTTGAACCTGAGGTCTCAAATGTTTTTTATTTTTTTCTTTTTCTGTTTTTCTTTTGGGGAATGTGGTACTGGACTTTCAGACATTTTTTTTTTTTTTCTGTAACAGATGATAGTTCAGAAAGTCTGTAGGCATTGTAATCCCAGGGAGAAAACATACAACAAAATAAATATTTTGCAATAGATAGAAAGTTTAAGTTTTCTCTTTTTTTCTCATTGTATAATTAATTAATTTTACTTTTTAGTGGATTCATCTATAGTAGACATACAATATAGATGCAGATTTGGTGTAATAGCAGTTCATGTGAAGAAGTCTGTGTTTTAGCAGCCTGGCTGTGTTGCATGCCTCTCTTACATGCTAATAGGCTGGCAGTAATTTTAGTTGTAGTTTGTATATTTATCCTGGGGACTAACTTCACTGAAATGCCAGACTAGGAAGATTGCCTTCCAGTGAAAATCAGGCTGTCAAGGCTCAAAATACTTAATTAAAATGCTTCAACTAAATTTTGCATATTATGGCAGAATCAATTTATAATTATGAAAAATCAGATTAATTTCAACCCAATCAGTAAATTGTCAAGAGGGATTTTTTTTGTTGTTGGTGGTGCTATTGCAGCTGCTGTTACCAGAAGATATTTACAGGGTAAAAAATAGAGATCAGTCTGAGAAAAACTGATTGAATGCTAAGCTGTTAGAAGACAAAAGTATACATAGTATGGAAAATAATTCATCATCTGAGAGAAAAAAATAAGACACATTCAATATACTGTGTTTTGAAGATAGGATTTCTGCATTGCCTTTATTTTATTTGAGTGAAGTGTACTTGTATTCAAGTTCCAGCTTTGTCACTCACTGTGGAAGCTTGGGCTTATTTTTAAACCTCTATGCTTAAGTTTCTTCATCTGTGTAGTATGAAATGAAATATTCCTATCACATAAAATTGTGATAGATAAGAATTAGATGAGATGATATCTGTAAAATACTTCTAGAACATTATATGGATCATAGCAAGTGCATCAGAAAAACTTAGCCATCACTGTTTCTCCATCCCTGCCCCATCTCCCTTATTTTGCTTCTTAGTTTATAAAAAGATGTATTGAGAACAAAGTAAAAGAAACAGTATTTTCTGAGTCCATAGCTATAGCTAACCTTTGGTCTACTTTCTCTCAGTTTTTCCCCCAGCCCCTGAGTTTTCTTAGTATATAATATCACAGTACCAGCTGGCATGGATATGATCTGCACACCTTAGTCAGAAACATTTTGTTATGCTATATCTGATAAGGACCTACTCTCTCTTTAGTCCAGCCAGGATTGAATCATCTCTCTAATCATCATATCTCAATACCCTTTTTCTGGGCTTAAACCTTCAGGGAACATGTACATTATACTAATAAGCACCATACATTCTCTCTAGAGCCATGCACATTTCCTGAACTACCCTGATTCTAAGGGTTAGTTTGGGTGCTTATTTTAGATTGAGACTGCTTTGACTTTCTAAATCACAATTTACATGGCCAAGGCATGAGTTCACAGATTTTAATATGAAATCTCAAATAATTTGAAATCTTTAGAATACATAAAAGTGTTCCCTTTGGAGCTTGTTAAGAAACTAGAATCCAGAATGCAAACACCAGGGATTCAAAAGTTTTAAGCCTCTTGAGTCCTGAATTTCTAATTTTACTAAGCAACCTAGTAGTAATATATTGAAGAAATATTGCTTGCAACTTTTTTGTGTTTCTTCTACTTTGGCCAAGACAGTCCTTTTTTTATATGATAGGTCAGTCACAAATGGAAAAACTTCATGTCTAGAAAGGGTAAAGTACTGACCTATATTCATAAAATCCCATTTCTCAACCTTTTTCTCTCAAGTACTGCTTATATGAGATTTGACATTAGTGCAAATTTTTAGTTAAATAACCTTTGTTAAGTATATAAGTTCTGCACTTTTTGTGGTAAGTCCATCCATCTTAACCTGTTCAAAGTTACTTACTGTTTTTACCTCCATAACTTTTTTGAATAAAGAGCTATAATAGGTCTAGGGTTGTGGTTCAGTGGTAGAGCACTTGCCTCGCATGTGCAACGCCCTGGGTTTGATTCTCAGCACCACATATAAATAAATAAAGGTATTGTATCCAACTACAATTAAAAAATAAGTAATTTTTCAAAAGTCTGTAAAAAAAACAGAGCCATTATACTAAAAAAAGTCATCATCTTGAAAAAGTATTAATAATTAAATATTAGGGAAAGACCATCATAAAATACCTAAACTAGTTCTAAGTCATAAAACCAAGGCATGACATGTTGGCACATTTGATGTTTCTGTCTTTTGTATATACCACTGTAAAAGGCCTTATCTTCTCTTTAAATTCCAAGCTGGCAGGGCTTACAGTCACTTAAAAATATTTCTGTTGGAAATTAGTTTCTCTGGTAATTTTGGAAACTTCAACTGATATAGAGCTCTTTTGAAAGTATAAGTATAGCTTGCTGTCCATGATAGGCACATTCCTGAGAATTTATAAGAAGACAGGTAATGTCTTAATATCTTAGGTGAGTGCATCTCTATTCTTGGTAAGGGATTGAGGAGCAGAGATTGAAGATAATAATCCTTAATAGATCATCCATGCTTGATTTAGGTCTGCATTGTCATCAGGAAAAGGTATCCCAGTTGTTTCAAAGACCCAGAGTTGATTAAAATATAACTTCTCACTTTTCTGCACAACATTAGTGCCTTCGGTGTTTATCATATGCTAGGCTTGACAGATACTGTCTGTTCACTCTTTGACTCATTCAGCTATTTATTGTGCAACAACTGTGTCCCATCTTCAGTTGCAGTCACAAGACAGGATATTCCTACCCACACTAACCTTAAATTCTACTCAGAGAGAAATAGTAGTGAAAAATGTATAATACTTCAAATTTATGTGGTCTTTTTAAAAAAAAGGTATGTGGTCTTAAAAAATATAAAAATATCAAACATGGTGAGGAAATCAGAGATGTTATTTAGACAAAAAGTCCAGGGAAGGCCACTCTTCATGATGTAGAAAGGGGCCTAAATGAAGCAAAGACTTGTGGGCAGAATTCTTCTTAAATTGGAAGATAAACAATTGCAGAAATTCAGAAGAGAAGACCTGAGCCGTTAGACACTGGTAAGATCTCTGGGGCTTGAAGAAGATGAATTAGAAGGGTTAGTGATAAGAAGAGACCAGATCATATAAGGCTTTGTAGTCTATAATAAGTAGTTCAGATAGTAGAATATTTACTCAACAGAGCAACCATATACTATTATTATTCTCATTAAACACAAATTGACATATGACAAATTGAGGGTTAGAGTGTCATATGACAAATTGAGGGTTAGAGTGTCACTAAATTTGCCTGGGTTCTTATTCTTGCCTAGTAACATAAGAAGGTTTAAACTCCATTTGTTTGTTGTCTGAATCCAAATCCTATGTTTCTTTTTCTGTATAACATTGTCTTTGATTAACTAGTCTTGTTGCCTTAAAAAATAATACTAAATTCAACTGGTCCTAATCAACTGTTCTCAATAGTAGAAGAAAACAGATACATACTTAAAACTGAACTTTTATACACAAAGGAGAGAAGGAAAGTATGTATATACCTGTGTTAGTCAACTTTACATTGCTATGGCCAAAATACCCCACAAGAATAACTTAGAGGAGGAAAAGTTTGTTTTGGTTCATGTTTCCCAAGATTCATTCTATGTTTGTTCAACTCTATTTCACTGGCCCAAGGTGAGGCAGTTCATTATTGTCAGAAGGGTTTGGTGATAGAGCATTGCTCTATTCATGCCTAGAAAGCAGAGAAGAAAGAGAAGGGGCCACAGGGAAAGAAAAACTCCCCTAGGGCATGTACCCAGTGACCTACCCCTTCCAGCTGTGCCCCACCTGCCTATAGTTACCAACCAGCCAGTCCATTCAAATTAGGATAGAATGATAAGATCATAGCTCTCATAATCCAGTTGTTTTCATCTCTGAACATTGCTGCATTTTCACAAGAACTTTTGGGCAATACCTAATATCCAGGCCATAATAATACCATATCACAAAATACTGAATACACTCAATATTATGGTTTAGCAAGGTAATTTTAATGCTTTTGATAATTCCATATTTAAAACCAATAATTAATGATGAAAAAAATCATTGAAAGCACACTGATTGAATAATGGTTATAACAGGTACCAAAAAGAAAATGCAATATGCTCAAGATGAACTTTGTAACCCAAATTTAAACCACTCTAGTATAACCTGTTCTTAAAAAAAAAATCTTTGGAATGAATACTGTACTATTTATAGAGTATTGTTACATTATTACATTTTGTAATTAATATGTCTGTCTATTTAAAGATTAGAGGCATTTATATTTTATATAGAGTCCAATATACTTAGGTATTTAAGTGAAATTCTAATAAGGAATTATAATGAGGAAACACTTTGTTAAAACTATAATGATAAGCTGGTGTTTTAAATAATTATAGGTAAAGTTATCTACTAAAAAGACCATTAGAGAACATTTAGGATAAGATAAAAAAATATTCTACTTTGAAGACAGAAAGTGAAATTCAGATATTTTGAAACTTTATTTAGAGTTAAAATTGCTTTCAATTTTTAAATAATAAACTATATAATTTAAAAGGATTCATCTTGATATGTATAAATTTTTCTCTTATAAAATAAAACCTTAATAATTTTATGTGCCATTATTTTTTTAGTATCTCTACAGAATAGTTATCAGAATATTTTCTATTAACTTTAAAATTAATGTCTAAACTGGAGGCACAAAATTTCAAAGAACACATTCTAAAGAAGAAATATATTTAAGTCAAGTAGTAGCTGTGGCTTTCCTAGGTAGGTGGTTTTATGTTTAAATTAAAGTAGAATAATAATTAAAAGATGCTAAATATATTTTGCTTATTTTTTGCCCTGGAATGTATTATTAGAGCTATTGTTCAAATGCTGTCATCTCTTATTGTAATTCATATATAATGAACAATAAGCATTTCTTTGAAAATCATGACTATGTACTGAAACAGTTCTTTGGCAGTGAATCTTTTTTCTCTGGTTAGAATAACACATTACTGTAATTCCTTTCCATTTTAGGATTACTTTCAGTGAAGGGATGATCAAAATCAAATCAAATATAATTTGAAGAAAATGAATAAATTCTTAATAGTTTCATGATTACAACAATAACTATTTAAATAAACTCTTTTTTAATTTTTTAAAATTTTTTTCTCTCTTTTTTATTGGATGTTCAAAACATTACAAAGCTCTTGACATATCATATTACATACATTAGATTCAAGTGGGTTATGAACTCCCGTTTTTACCCCAAATACTGATTGCAGAATCACATCGGTTACACATCCACATTTTTACATAATGCCATATTAGTAACTTTTGTATTCTGCTACCTTTCCTATGCTCTACTATCCCCCCTCCCCTTCCCTCACACCTTCTCTCTCTACCCCATCTACTGTAATTCATTTCCCTCCTTGTTTTTTTTTCCATTCTCCTCACAACCTCTTATATGTAATTTTGTATAACAATGAGGGTCTCCCTCCATTACCATGCAATTTC